CGGCGCCGGACACCGCCGGGCGTCCTCCAGCTGGCAGGCCGGACGCCCCACGGTCAGGTGCGACCACACGCCAAAGCCAAAATGTGTTCACACTCTCGCCCCTCCAGGCTTGACACCCAGAAGGACAGTAGTCACCGTGATGGGAATGAAACCGCTTGGAGCGAGAGGGTAAATAAAGAGTCTGTGATCGATGCAATCGGAGTTCTATTACTCCTTAAAGAGACAGCGCCCGCGAATTCTAGGGGGTCCCCTATTGCTTATTAAGACGGAGGAGGGAGATTTTGATCAAAGTGGAAGCAGCTTGCTAGTCTTTAATGTGCGCAAAGGATCTAAGCCTCTGGAGGGCAGATTTAAATTTACTTAATTACTATTTTTCACACAATGCCCCGCGTGATGTAAATATAGATTGTGGATAAAGGTGATGAATGAATTAAGTGAATGTTGTGCATCCACTTAATGTTTTTCTATTCTAATCTCATTTTTGTATGTTTTAGAACAACCAACTTATACAGCAGCATATCTAGCCTTTAGCAAGACGTAGGAACAAACTTTTTGTTTTGTTTAAATTATTAAGGCTACATAGTAGCTACAGTCATTTCTGCAGCAAGCTTCTTTACACATAATATCACTCGAACTTCAGCAACAGTATGCAGGTGATAGAGTTACAAAATGTTACCAAAGTTTACAAATTATAAACTTGATTCTTAGATATTTTATATATAATTGTCAAAAATCACAGAGACAGCTCTTCCAATTCCAAGTCCACATCTTTTGTACCCAGCCTCAAAGCATGAAGGACTCATCGGAAAATTACATACAAAATAAGAATTCTTGGCAGTATAAGATGGCATAATAGACCACAGCTGGTAAAATACATACTGTATGCAAATGAAAGGTATGCTACATAACTTAATTACAGTTTAACTGCTGAATGTGATAGAATTTAGTTTTAATGAATACTGTACTGAGCAATTAGGCAGATAGGAAATAGCTTTAGATTGCAGTGTTAGTTTAATTCTAATATAAATTTGTTGAATATCTGAGGAATAAAAAGGTGACTGAGATATCTTCCCTGCCCACTTAACAATCTAGGTTTCTGAGCCTCATATTTTAGCACACATTATGATGATTTAGGGGACCCCATTCCCAAAGATGCTGATTCATCATATGTGGGGTGGAATCAGAGTCGTTCAGATGTAATAAGCCCCTTAATGATTGCTATGGGCGTCTCAGCTGTGTACAATGAGAAACATTGCTCTAGTCTAGGAGGTGATGCATCAAGAGTGCTGATACCCGCAACTTGTCAGTGAAGTGGCAAGACTCAGCGTTGCTATTTATTCCCAATCTAGGTATGACTTTTTTATGGGGTGATAATCCCCTTATCATTGTAGGCTCACTACATGCCAGATACTCAGTACCTTACAAATTCTGACATTTAATCCTCATAATAATCTTATTATAGAGATGCTGTTATTGCCATTTCAATCTTATAGACAAGGAAATTGATGTGCAGAGACAGTGAGTTACTTGCCCTGTACACAGGAAGTGGCACAGCTGCCTCCAGATGTAATAAGTCCCTTAATGATTGCTATGGGCGTCTCAGCTGCGTACAATGAGAAACATTGCTTAGTAGGAGGTGATGCATCAAGAGTGCTGATACCTGCAACTTGTCAGCAAAGTGGCAAGACAGCTCTGCTATTTATTCCCAATCTAGGTATGACTTTTTTTTTTTAAGCCTTACATACTTAAAAATAATGCTGGATTCTGGTGGGAATATACAATGGCATGGCACTGTGGAAAACAGTTTGGCTGTTCCTAAAAATGTTAACTCCTAGGTATGTACCCACAGTGCTGAAAGGGGCTTGGAACAAATGCTTGCACACCAGTGCTTATAGCAGCCTTATTCACAATAGCCAAAAAGTGGAAACAACTCACATGTTTAACGGACGAGT